TTTTTTTGGGGTTTGGAGTATGGCTGGGAGATACGGTCTCGAGTACAAACTTATGCCACTAAACACACACACACACAGCCATCAATCTCTCTTACAAACCCTTCTCTCTCCTCCTCATTTTTTTTTTCTATATATCCTGCCTTATCCCTTTTCTCCTCTTATCTTCTTTTTTTTTCTTGAATACTTGAGCTCCATTTTCTTTTGCATTTTTTCTTCTTCGTTTGATTAATTAGAAGTGGAGTGGAGGAGTGAGTGATTGTGTGGAAGTGTGGAGTGGGTTGTTGAGTGACTGGCCGGAGCAGAGATCTGGTGATGGCGGTGGTCGCTAGCAATTCATGTTCTTTCTTTCTCTCTCTTTTTTTCTCTTTTCTTTGGGCGGGTTTCTTTAAAAAATCAATGCGGGTTGGATGGATGGATGGAATGATCGTTTAATCACATAAAAACAAACAAGAACAAAAAAAAATATATATATATACCATTGCATCTCTCCCAGAAAAGACAAACAAATCGAAATCGTTAATTAATCATATCTATATCAGACATTAAAATTCCTGGACTTTTCCCCCCCGAATTTCTGTTGATCACATTATCATTAGTTCTTTTCCTCCCTTGATTTTTTTTAGCTTTTCTGTTGAATTTCCTCTGTCTCTCTGCCTTAACGTTACTCTACCAAAGTCACTCGTTTACAAACACCGTCTCTATTTCATCTACACACTCAAGTCCAACCCCATACTTTTTTTTTCTTTCTCTTGATCACTTCCTTCCTATCATCCGCTACCATCAACGAAAAAAATAAAAAAAATCAAATCATCTGTCTCTTGTTATCCTTTTTCTTTGCGATATTTTATTGATTGAATATGTATAACTTGTCTGGTTTGTTCTTCTCTCTGCATAAAATCTTTGATGTTTGTATATTTCATTCCTTCTCCAAAAAAAAAAAAAAACAAATGCAAACCAAAAATATCTGTTTTGTTGGACAGATACATGGTAGTTGAGGTTGGAAACATACACCACGGGGCCAGTTTTTTGAAACTGGCCCCATCCGCTGGACGCTTTCCTGAAGAGAGCGTCCAACGGATGCGATCAGAGCGTCCGAGGGACGCTCTGGCGAGCCAGCATCACTTGGATGCTTCCAAAAGCATCCAAGTGACGCTGGCCAAATATGAAGCGTCCGATGGACGCTATGATCTATCGTCCATCGGACACTCTCCAACCAAGAGTGTCCGATGGATGACGGTTTTCAGTGTGTCCATTGGACACTTTGAGTTACAATTCCTGATTGGAGCCGGTGGTCGATGGTCGAAAGTAGCTTCAAAAGTTCGGTCGATGGTCGAAAAAACACTCTGAAAATGCGGTCAATGGTCGAAAAACACTCCAAAAGTGTGGTCGATCGTCGAAAAACGCTCCAAAAGTGCAGGTGTAGTGATTGTCACAAAAAGGTCCAAAAATGCACTTGATCATCAAAAGAGGTGTGAAATGGCTTGCTCCAAATGCAAATTTGGTTTATGAACAACAGTTTGGCTCTGCCTGCAAGGATAATTCTGTGTAGTCACTACCTGCAGGCAGGTGTGGTTTCCTGCGCAGCCGCACCGTGTGGTTTTCCACAGGACTCGCGCGGCCCCGGGTAACCTCAACCGGAACATCAGCTGATGTTTCTCAGGGTAATTAGAGTTGGGTTATGTAACTTTACCTAAAAAGGTACATCTTTGTGAAAAACAAGCCTTCAAGTACATACCAATATAATCATTGCTGTGTAAATGACACATGTCACATAATACAGGATGAGCGCATACCCGGATGTGATTTGTCCTGATTTGTCTATGTACTCTCAAGAGACTTATCCCGACTTATCTTTCAACTGTTTCACTAATTGCGTACAGCTCAAATACTCCACTCATACATGTAGGTAATCCGAGATCTTGCACCACTCACTGTCTTCCACTTTGCTGATTACCATTGTCTTTTTGATTCACATTTGCACAGATCTCTGCGCGTCGTTTGCATCGCTTGGAACATGGATGGTCAACAAGAGCTTTGTTCGTGCCCGAAATGCAGCCGGAACGTTTTTGTTGAGGATGGGATCACTCGCCAGGGAATCTACGTACACCCTCGAACTCGACAAAAACACCGACTCGAAGCGGGCAATGATGAGCAAAGCCTAGCCAGCTCTCTGATTCAACTGGCACTTGAAGAATTCCCATCCCTTGCCACTAAACAACCTACCAATCAGCTGGACCAACCTCCTCCTCATTCCGAAACCTCCAACAGCAGCAAATCCGAGGACCCCAAATACAAGCCAATTAGTATTAACTACCGTATGTATCAATCCTACTCCCCTTAATCAGATTTGACAGCTCATTTGCATGTTGCTCCTGTAGATTATGTCATGTTTTTCATTGCGTGGCTTCACTTATTTTGCGGGATTAGTCAAGCTAAATGTCGTGAAGCAGTCCAATACATCTTATACCTCATCAAGCACTGTCGTGACCTTCCGGCCGATGTCCAAATGGAGTCGAAAGTACCAAAAGATGTCCGTACCATAACTAAGAAACTCAAACTCGACCCCGAACTAGATATACATGTCTGTTGTCCAAAATGCTACTCTCTCTACGACATCGAATCTTCCCCATTTGAATGCGATTACCGCGCCACTCCAAAATCGGCGGTATGTGGAACAAACCTGTTTGATGGCTCAAAATTAATGTCACATAATCGGCTCCCTAGACTCAATCAGCGAATGCCACCCTCAAAAGTTCGAAGACAGTTGATTCACCCCGTCAATCCCTCAAGTGTATTTGTCACCCAGGATTTTGGCGAATGGCTGAAATGGTTCTTTTCCTTGCCTGAAGTTGAAGACTCAATTGACGAGTGTTCCGGGCAGCCTTTTAATCAAAACAGATCAACTGACTACTTGAACTCGCGCGCATACAAAAAAATTGCTCCTCAAAGTCGCCAACTAACTCACAGACCTTCTTCGCTCAGTCTGGTCTTTGGTCTATTTGTGGACTGGTTCAACCCTCTTGGAAACAAACTCGCGGGAAAACAAACTTCTCTAGGTGTCATTGCTCTTACATGCTTGAATCTTCACCCGAGATTGCGATACAAACCGCAATATACCTACTTAGCTGGTATCATCCCAGCACCAAAGCAACCCGACATGATAACAATAAGCAACGTTTTACGGCCGTTAGTCGATGAGTTCATGAAGCTCGATGAATCATTCAAGATCAAAACACACCGGGTTTCCCGAAGGCCGAAGAATAACAGCTAGGATTGGCGCATTAATTGGCGATGTTGTGGCCACTCATAAAGTCGCTGGATTCACCTCTCACTCTGGCAAACGGCTTTGTTCATGGTGCGACGTCATTGACACCGATATTGCGGAGATGAAAATTGGAAAGACTTTCGAAGCAAAATGGCAACTTTATCATCTGCTCGAGAGTGGTTTGATGCAACTGCAACAGACCGAAAGAAATTGGTACGAAAGACTGGAGTGCGATCGTCTGAGCTTAATCGATTATTGTATTGGGACCCGGTCAACAACGTGGTGCTCGGAGTCATGCAAAATTGGTTTGAGGGCGTATTACAACATCACTTTCGATTTCGTTGGGGGTTGAATGGGAATTGGGAAAAGGGGCCAAAGAGACAAAAAAGGGCGGATCAGAGTGGAGCCGAAACTAGCGATTACACTACAGAAGAGGATCTTGGGGACAACGATGACGAAATCGATGGGAATGCTGAGAATGACGCCAACACTAACTCGGAGGATGTTCTTGATGCGTTCTGGAATGTCGGCCAGAAGAAAAAGCTAGTTGCGTCTGTTTTGGAGGTGGTTGTGCCAACCGGAGTCACACGAATGCCCAAAGCATTTGGGACGGCCAAAAATGGAAAACTGAAGGCAAGCAAATGGCATACTCTCTTTACCATTCACTTGCCTTTGGCGGCAATGAGTGTATTCATCGACTCTACGGATATTGATGAATGTTTACTTCAGAATCAGCGGTGGGCCGCTACGCTACGCTACGCTTTTGGCCCAAAAAGCGTAGCGTAGCGGCGCTTTTTTTGCGCCAAAAATTCGTAGTGTTAGCGCTTTTGTAGCGCATTTTCGCTACGCTACGCTGCGCTACAGCGCTTTTAGCGGAAAAAGCGGCTAAAAACCGCTAAAAACCGCTGTAGCGCAGCGTAGTGGGCCCTTTTTTGCGGCCCACACGCGTAGCGTTAGCGGTGTCGTGGCGGAATTCCGCTACGCTACGCTTAACGCTAACGGGAATTCCGCTGCGTTACGCTACACTAACCGCTACGGTTAGTGTAGCGGCCCACCGTTGTCAGAATGATACTGCGATCGATAATTTTACCGCCCTCGTCTGTTGCACCAACATCGTTAGCTCAGGTGAAGTTACTAGTCAAGACTCCGATGATTTCACCACCGAGTACAGAAGCTATACAACGACGTCAATGGATATTTTCCCCAATGTCAAGATACTTCCTAATCATCACTATGCCCTTCACCTACCTCAGCAATTTCAGTGGTGGGGGCCTCTGATGGCTGTGTCCGAATTTCCTGGGGAGAGATTGATCGGCCTTCTTCAGAAATGTAAGACCAACGGTAGTTATAGTGAGTCGTGTATGAAGATGAATACTCAGGATCATGGTAAATAACTTACGTGTCGCTTGTGATTTAGAACAGAACAATATCACTATTATGAAAAAGTTTTGTCAGCTTCAACGACTAAAGACACAGCATGGTTTGGACGGTGCACTACAGGAAGAGACAGTCATTCGGAGTGGGGCCACATTTGAAATGAATAAGGCTACTTACGAACAAATCCTCAAATTTTGTCGCCGATCAACTCCCGAGCTACGTGCAAATCATGAGTTACCTCATCCAAGAGATGCAAAGGTGATGTTTGATTCAGCAAAGGAGATCCGCTTGTTGGACTGTGGTCGAGGGAAGAAAGTTACACCCAAGGAGCCAAACAACATGATCAAGTATGTGGGCGACGATGGCGAGGCAAGATATGCGCAGGTGGTGGACATAATCGAACTGATGGGTCATCGGTGGGGCGGTGCTGTGATCATCAAGGTCAATTCTGCAACGCAAGTCAGCCACTCGCAGCGTTTATCAGCGGTTTTTGCCAAGCTCAATGTGGTTCAAGTCCAGCTGGACCGTGCGGAGTATATCAACCCATCTCAAGTTGTTGGGCCCTTAGCACACCGGAAACTTGCACCAGGCGGCTTTGGATCTGCCCAATTGAGCTACCTCATCCGCCCACTGGGACTCTTGTCTGAAGTTGCATGGCCTATTGACAATGATGACATGCAGATCGACCCCTGAATTCTTATCTCTGTTGTTTTCTGTTTTTTTTTTCTCATTTTTCCAAAGACTTTTTCAATCAAAGTTCTTATTTTTTTTTCTCTCTTGTTTTGGTTACCAATTCTTTCTTTCTTTGTACATAACCGATATAATTGTTTTCCAAATTGGCTATGCGATTACTCATGCTCACCTCATATTTCAATATAAAAGCTGTTGAACAAGTGACCATGTTGAGACTGACCAGACAAAACCAAACGTGAATGAGTGACATTTTTGTGCATTACATGATAAAGAGATAAAAGCCAGGAAGAGTTTGAACAAGCCACAAAGCTGACTCTTACGAGATGAAAAGAAAGGTAAATGAGTGACAAGTGTGGGTATTCCATGATATAGAGTTGTTTTAACAAGTGGCAATGCCGAGTCTTTGAAGATGAAAAGAAATGAAGAGATTCAAGTGAGTGACAAGTTTGTGTATTACAAGATCAAACGAGATACAAAGGATTGAAAATTTGAGAGATTTCAAGATGAATTTAAGAAAGTTTACCTGGGAAACGAGTGACTATAGGATGACAAGACAAAAGTAGCATAACAATCCCATACAAGAATTCAAGAAACAAAACATATCTTCATTGCCAAGCATTCCACTCGCTGTCAGCTAATCCACCGTTGTAAGTGCCTTTTCCGTAATGAGCGAGCCTTGTTTCACCCTCGTCATTGTATTCTTCGTAGTTCTCATCAACATCTCGGCTACACCCCTCTCGCATCTGGACATCGTCATCTTGCTCATCGTCATCCTCCTCCTCATATTCCTCATCCTCTTCTTCATCCTCGCCCCCACTGGTGTGTTCCAAATCAATGCTGGTCCCATCGCCATCATCATCATTTTCGGAACCCGATTCGGTTTCCTCGTGAATTCTGAAGTCTAAGTTGTACTCCTTGGTTGCTTCGTCCCAGCGCTCTTCGGAAAACCGTTTGTCCCCCATCTTCTCAGCTGCGTCTTTGAAGCGGAGGGAGTCGTTAGGATTTTTCAGGAAAGCAACTACGTCGATATTCGCTAGGTCCTGCCTTTGGGCGGGAAGTTTACTGTTGTACCACTCCGCATCGTAAAAGTCTAGAGGCATCCCTTTGGGAGCCTTTGGAAATAAGGTCATAGGCGCATCTTGGACTCGGATGCGACGTCTACCTTGATCACGTTTACCTTCTTCGAGGGCCGATCACTTCATGACATCGTCGAGGCGGGTAAAGAAGATGTTGGCCGCGCGGGATCTGAAAGGGAGCTTTTTGACAATATAAACGTTCTTGCTGGGGTAGTATTCGTCATCGCTGTGAGCCTGGATTGATTTGATTATTGTTGTGTAGCGTTTGGGAAAGTTGTTGTTGATAGCAAATTTGTATCGTTTGTCTCTGAGCTGGTAGACAAAAGTCACAATTATCAGATGCTATCCGACTGCTCATTGTGTCTTGAATATGATAAAAAGACTTACCCTTTCTCGAGCGGTCTGAAGAACCTTTCGTTCTTCATCGTTCTTATGTTTTCCTTGTTCCTTCTTCTCCTTTTTGAGTACATTTGCCAATAAATAGTGGACGTAGTGGTCGTATGCCTGTTTCAGAAGATCGAAGTCGTCCACGTAGACGTTGTTGATATTCATGTACTTGTAAGCTCCACCAACAACTAACTGCCGAAACGTTCTGATGGCACAAATTTTATGAGCCTCATTGTATAAAGAGTCCGGCTGTTCATCGAGGTTGGGGATCCAAGCTGAGAGGCCGAGTTGCGAGAGCGAGGTGTGAACGTAACGGATATTGAAGTCAGAGATGTGCATCATGTGCTTGCCGAGTTTGGTACGCTCTTGTCGGGCTTCTTTGAGGGTCTGGATGGTGTCCAAGGCTACCAAACGGGGACCTTGTTTGATGGCGGAATTGATTTGGTCTGTCGAGGAAAACCTTTGATAAAATGAAGATACTTGGTCGGCCGATGGGGTACTGGGAACTGCTCGTTTCTTAACTAAGCCCCACAAAACCTTGATGTGGACGTAGAAAGCCTCCTGTTGATGGTATCTGTTGTTAGCAGCTTTCCGTTGCATACTTTGAAGAAAAATTAACTTGCCTTAGTCATCTCAAAGCCAGCCGGGTGATCCTGCTTCACCATTTGAAGTGGGCTTTTCTTTGATGCCGAGGCAGGAGTTGCGGAGCGGGCACGTTGCTTGACCGGAGTTTTCTTGCTAGACCCAAGGTTGGTTGGAGGCTTTGAGGACGCTTGGGGTTTTGCAGCCGGGGGGTCTTGGGCTTTCTTCTTGCCGGCCTTCTTGGACTTCTTCTGAGTTGCTCCACTCTTAGTTTGGGGCTTGCCGGAGTTGGTAGGGACTTTGTTCGAACCTTCCGGGGAGGGGTTTGCGTTGGTGGCTTTGGTCTGAAGTTCTATGGCACTGACTTTTTCAAGTAGCTGAGCGATCAATTGGTCTCGCTGAGCAAGACCGGCTTGTAATTGAGCAAGCATAGAGGCATCCATCTGTCAGCAAGGAATAGAGTTGTAAAACTTTGTGGACTGTAGTATGTAGACTTTAAGATAATGGGATAAATATTTGGATTGGATATGGTGTTTTCAGTTTGGAGAAGCTAGTGGTGAGTGCAGATGGCTAACTTACACTCGAGCTTCAAACACACAACCTTTTTATGTTGATCATCAGCCCGCACATGTCTGCATCGTCATGAGTTGAGGAAGGTTGAGGAGACAAGATGATGACTCATGAGAGCTACATATATGCATGAATGGTGACAGTCATGACAGCATGCATAACAATGCAAGTCAGCTTTGAGTTTGACCAACTAAAGGCTGATTTTTTGTTTGTTTGAAAGTTAACCTTCTAAAGAGAGCTCGACAAAGTTGAACACTATGTAGTGTGGTTTCACATGTAGTGCTATGTACATAAAAGAGTTGAGTGCATACAACGATGTTCTGTAGACTGATTTAGGTAAAGTTACATACATAACCCAACTCTAATTACCCTGAGAAACATCAGCTGATGTTCCGGTTGAGGTTACCCGGGGCCGCGCGAGTCCTGTGGAAAACCACACGGTGCGGCTGCGCAGGAAACCACACCTGCCTGCAGGTAGTGAGTGTAGTCAGTAACACCACGGTCATTTGCGTGTCGCCGCGGATGTAACCGTCACCTTGACGAATCCGCGTGCGTGACTGCGGCAGTAGGCGCAGTGACTGCGCACGAAACCCCCAATGAAACCCCCAGATGTCGCTCCGCGCGGGAGCGACATGCAATTGTCCGTGGTGTAAGGACAGGCTTTGGGGATGTGCAGTAGCCCTCCATGAGGTCATGGGTTCAAATCTGGGTGTAATTGTTTTTTTGTTTTCATTGCAGAAAAAAAAAGCATCCAGTGGACGGCTTGAAAACTATCCAGTGGACAGTTTTCCAGAAAACGTCCGCAAACTGTCAGGCAGAGTAGTGTCCAATGGACACTCTCTGCCCTGCAAGTTCTGGACACCTCAGATGATGTCCAGAAGAGTGTCCATGGGACATCAGAATAGTCCCGTGGTGTAATCTTGCACTCGGATGGTCTCATAGCCAATTATAACAAAAGAAAAGCTGTCTTCCGCTATAACTTGTGCGGATGTCGAAATCAGCCTTAAATGGAATCGGCGAGACAAAAGACTCCCCGGGGCTTACCCGGTCTGTCCCAAAACCCGACCCCGTGGTCAAGAAGGTTTGAGCCCGTCTATGTATTTTTGGAAGTGTATGTATGCAGCCTCAAACACTCCACACACAAAACCTTAGCGATGGGTGGAGCAAGTCATTCGCGTGAGTCAAGATGAGAGTTCTGTGTGTAGAGGAAATTCGAGGATGAAGAGAAACTGATGTTGTGATTTGTTCTTAACATAGCACTTTCTACCGAGCCCAAACCAGCACCCCTGATCAGTCCACCCAACACAGTCGCGCTCTCGGCGATCATCACTGGATGCAAAGTGTTTGCCAAACGGTTGGATGAGCCCGGACCGATCAAAGCCGAAGTACTCGGCATTCGACCCGCTAGCATCCAACGACGCTCTCGATTCGCAAAACCAGTCATCAAGGATGAGGAACCCATCTCAGATGGTCTAGAGAAGGAAGCGTCGGAAAGCTTGGAGTTCTAGTTCAGTCAAACCCCACATTCCTTTCTACTTTTTTTTGTTTTGCCCTTCTATCCTCACACTCTAGATTGCTTGAATTAGTGTTTCCCCATGTGGTGCTTTTCATTCGGCCTCCTCAATTACTTCTTTTTTCAAAGAATCACCGTCACTGAGCCACATCGGGATATTGATTTCAGTTTGCATTGGATAGGTTACAACAAACGATTGGACGAATGGGTTGTCGGGTCGCGAGTCCATTTGGACCAATCCATCGAGTGGCCCGTCGTCAATCCAACCCCATCCACCTCTGCCAATAGTACAGCCACCTCACCCAAGCAATCGGGAAAACAGGCACGGAAATCATCGGTGGTCCATAAACGCGAGAGCTCTAAGCTTCGGAAGGTGGCCTTGAAGAACGCGCAGAAGTTGACCAAGAAGAAGCAGTCTCATCGGCTCGACCAGACACCCAAGAACAAGCAGAAAAAGGCTAAGCGGGGCTCAGAAGCCAATGGAGAAGAAGAATCGTCGTCTCAGACTAAACTAGGAGACTCGGAGAGCATGGCTAGTGAAGACGAAGATGACGAAGATGATGAAGATCCGGAGCAAGAAGAGCATGATCAAGAGGAGGAGGAGGATGATGAGGACGAAGAAGATGAGGACGAGGACGAGGATGTGGATTCAGATCGGACACAGAATCAATTTTCCAAGGAAGATGAGATCGAAAAGTTAAGAACCTCGGGTAGTATGACCCAATCGCATCATGAAATATCGCGAGTCAAGAATCTGGACCGAATCCAAATCGGCAAGCACGAGGTCGAAGCCTGGTACTTCTCGCCCTATCCCATCGAATTCGCCCACATCCCGATCCTGTACATATGCGAATTCTGTCTGTCGTTCTATGGCTCGGAAGCACAGATCCATCGACATCGCATGAAATGCACGCTCTTGCATCCGCCGGGCAACGAGATTTATCGGGCAGAAGAGATCCATTTCTTCGAAATCGACGGACGCAGACAGAAAACCTGGTGTCGAAATCTGTCGCTCTTGAGCAAATGTTTCCTCGATCACAAGACGCTCTATTACGATGTAGACCCATTCCTATACTATGTGATGTGTCAAAGAGATTCGAACGGACTGCACTTGATCGGCTATTTCTCCAAGGAGAAAGAATCGGCCGAGAACTACAACGTGGCATGTATCCTGACTCTGCCGCAATATCAACGGCTCGGGTTTGGGAAACTGTTGATCGAATTCAGCTATGAGTTGTCCAAGAAGGAGGGCAAATTGGGCTCCCCTGAGAAACCGCTCAGCGACCTCGGTCTCTTGTCCTATCGCGCCTATTGGGAAGAAACTATCGTCGGCTTCATCCTCGATTGTCATCAGAAAAACGAGGGCGTTAGTATCGATGAGATCGCTCAGAAGACGGCAATCGTTCATAGTGATGTGATGCATGTCTGTCAAACATTACAACTCTTGAAATAGTTGGTCTCCTCCTCAATTCTTTTTCTTTCTTCCCCGTCCTTCCTTTGTCTTGGATATGCAGATTTAAATTTTTATTGACTGATTTTTTTTCTTGGATCTTTTCTTCCTTTTTAACCAAAAAAAAAAAAAAACCCTACTTAGTCGAAATAAACAACATATAATTTGTTTATCAGATGCGATCATCGAAAGGTATGAAAAAACAAACAAGAAGAATCGGCGACGGATCCAACCCAATCAATTGATTTGGAAGCCTCCAGTATTCTCTCGAGCTCAACTTCAATTCGGATTTTAATTATCTTCCAATCAAAACCATAAACCGTTTTTATACTCTTACCTTTTGTTTTTATTTATAGTTCTAATTATCAACATGTGTTTCGATAAAAATTGTTATGTAGGGAGATGGTGCTTAATATTATTGCTTGTGGATGACCGATTCTTGTATTTTATTCTTTGCCAATTCATCCTCCATGAGTCCCTTAAATATCCAACACGACATGTAAATATGTACACGTCACACCCCCTAGGTTCTCGGAGTGTGCTAGCTTAATACAAGCCTCCCCAAAAAAGACAAGAAACATCAAACCCATTGAAATAAGTATTCATACAGTGATAGCGTTTGGCCAGATAATTAACGATCCAAACAGGATACAACACAAAGTCTCATCGAGGGGGATCAAACATAAGATGTGAGGACTGGGTGTCCTGGCTTTTACCTTTGCATGTTGAGTCTTGAGATCTTCGCAGTCTCCTTCACCTTGGATGATTCCCGCAAAATATCATCGTTTACTCAATGATTGTCGATAAGATTTCCGTACCCTGTTCTTCCCTGTGTTTCATCTGGTGGTTCTTCATCACTCATGCTGCCACAAACCCCGGAAACGCAGATGTCAACCTTTTGCAGCAGTTCTCAGCTACGGCAAGCCCATCTCCCAATGATCATCATCTCATGGTTGCGTTGATGAACTCTCCCAGTCCAAGCTTAACAAGAGAGCAGTTGGAAGAGGAATGGGAAGCGACAACATCACAACTGAAGAATCGCTTGTCTTGCTTCCATGGATCGACTCAAAGCTTGACTTCAACCCATGATGAGAGCTCACGAATCCCGGAAAAGATGCAGAGGAAACGCAAATACAGTCATACACAACCTTCCATCTTCAATCCAACTTTAAACCATGAACAACCTTCGATCCCCACTCCAACCTCAACCCCTCCCGTCGTTCCATCAGATGTTGAAAGAGCTTTTTCTGGCGGTGAGTTTTCATCAGCAGGGATTGTATTATTTGTTTGATGAATCTGAAGAAGACTAACCAAAATTCAATAATAGAGCTGGTTGGCCCAAGCTTGGCAGTCAGTCAGGAATATAATGAGGCCCAGATTAGCAGAGAGTTGAACTCAGAACAGGCGTTGAGTCAACTCAATCCTGATATCTTTACCAATAATCCAGAAGAAATCCCAAACCATCCACTGCGATTCAAATCAGACATAGAACATCCGGGTTGCTGCACATCAGTCGGCACCCTTTCAGAGCCGCTTCTGCAAGAATTTAGCTCGGATTTTGACAAGGCGTTGAAAGTGTACTCTAAGACCTTGAGTCGACTTTCAACGCTTATCAAGCACCCCAGCTTACCATTTGGATTGACGGGTCTTGTTTCAGATTCAACCTGGTTAACAAGGGTTCTAAGCGAATCAAGTCGGGGGACCAAGACTCAACAAAGACGGGTGTTGTGCTTCCTTTTTAGAATGTTGATTTCATGGACCTACGAGTTCCTCGAACAGACTTTAAACCATTTCGACGCACCTATCTTTGCGTACAGAATTCACCAAAGAAGATTCTTGGGATGGCTGCGGGAGCAAATCTTCCCATCCCGTACTACAAGTAACACTGACAATAAACATATTCGTATCTTCCAATTCATTCGACCGCCATGTCCGACTTGGGAAAAGGACTTCTCTGACGGCTCTCTGGGCCTGACTCAAATACATTTGATCAATTTCTTTTCCACCAACAAGGACAACACTGAACTGGCAAAAGTAACTGCTGCCTATCTTGTTGAAACTTACTTGGCCAATAAAGAAAGTGGGTCTTCTTGACATGTTCAAAAACATTTAACAGTGCTTGACTTTCATACTAATCACTTTTTTTTGGTTGTTTTTGGGGAATGATAGATTTAGATGCCATCAAAATTAAGACTTCAAATAAGTTTGGTAAAGGATTAGAAGAAGTTAAAGGCAATCAAGTGTTCAATCAAATGTTCTCCCATCTATCAAAACTTGCAATAGAACCAATAATTCCATGTCACCAAAAGATTCCAAAGCATGAAAGGTATGCACCCATAACATCAAGTTTGGAATCTTTCTCAAAACAATGTAGAATCATAGAAGAGAAAATTGGAAGCAATACCAGCAGAATGATTCATAAAATCTATCATCCAAGGTTACCAATAGCTGTGTGTTTTTCTGGAGAGAATCCAGGAATCGAACCCATAAGGCTTCTACAATCCCAGGAAAAGAAGTGTCTTACAGAACAAGTGTTATATACAAATGTGAGGAGATTGATTTTTACAGCAGATCAAATCCACCTTGAACTATTAGAAAGATCGACAACTCCAGGAGAGGAACACAAAAGAGTCAGAGAAAGATTCTTGAGATGGGTTCTTGAGCAGATTTTCAGTCCAAAAGACAGTATTCCAGTCCTCGGGATCCATCAGACCAACAGGTTTCTGACCCCTTGGGATCAACCAGATCAACTAAATCTCATCAATTCATTCGGAAAAATTCAAGTCAAATTGATTGAATATCTGTCCCAATTTGGACCCCTTGGAAGTGATGAAATGTTTCAAAATGCAAAAATCATCTCCTATTTTCTCCTGGCCACTTGGTATTCTATTGAAAATTAGAGTGATGGACTTCTTTTTTTTTGTTTCTGCTTCTTTAAAACAACAAAATCAAGAGATTTTACGCAACTGGCACCACAAAACAAGTTGTACCTCTTGCTGACAAGTGACATCAAGATGCTACATGTGTAACTTGGTTCATACTACACTTGAAGCTTACGTAACACACATGCATATTGTACCAGGAGAGACTTACAAAGGAGGGGTTCACCCAAGCCTCACAAAGGCTCCCTCAAATCCTCCTTGATGTCACTTGCTAGCAAATGACATCCCAACTTTCATGGTGTGGAAGATTCCATTTCTTTGCTAGACAAATTTTATTTAAAAGAAATACTTGACCCAATTTGAGACTGGGAGAGACTGTTATGTACTTATAAGAAGCAAGCAAGACTTTTGTCTTTGAGTTTTCATGGAAGAATAGATGATAGAAAATAGTTTCCTGAGAGAAGGGATTGATAAAACAAGAGAGAAGTACAGGAGCTAAGTGATATATAGAATAAAGAAGACTGGTGGCTAAATTAGCTGTCTTCTACTCTGAGTTAGTAGTTTTGCTTAATCTTACTTTATTGAGTGATCAATACTCTTATTTTGATCAGTGATCAAATTGGGGGGGGGGTCTATTGGATCATGCTGAATCAGTTTATTGATCTGAGTTTCAGGAGTGTTTATGCCATAGCAGACTCACCAGAACTGTCACCTAGTAGAAGATTGGAAATGTAATTTATGGTGGCCTTGGATCAACACTGCCACAAATACAGGATTTACAATGTATTGGCACGTATCATGCCATGTATCACTGGCTTGGTGTAAAAAATTTTTTGACCAATGTGATTCTATGGACATTGTTGTACAATACATGTGTCCTTTAGCCATATATGTTGGTACAATTCCCCATGATATAAACTGTGTATTGTATTTGTTGCAGCATTACTTGGATACATGTATCATCTCTGTCAAACTAATAATTATTAGCATCTGATGCTTTTAGCTAGTAGTAATACACACAGATGTACACCTCATAGGCTCCAAAGCAGGACTTAGTTAAGTATGTGTTGGTGGGGGGAGGCTCACATAGAGCATCCATCAGGAAGATTATAGAGAACCGTTTTATATACATTTTAAAATCCAGCATGAGAAAGACTCAAACATAATTTTCAAAAAGAAAGGTCCTCCACCCACATCAATAAGCAAGCTCCCCTCCTCTATTTGCCCATTCAACCAGGCTATTAAAAAGTAACAGGGCAGCTGATGTACTGCTGATGGTCAATCTAACTGAAATCATCCTCTGCTGACATGCCAGGAAAAACCCTTAAAGCTTGCAGGGTAATTAACTCCCTTTTAGAGGCAAGGTCACATTCTGCAACTTTGCAAAAAAAGGTTGCATGGGCAACAAAATTTACCAAAATTAGCACCAAACTTGGAGTTGGGTAATGAACTAGACAGCTAATTTTTATCCCTGAAATGCATTTTTTTACTCCATTCCTAAGTTGCATAAACAACCAAACCAAGAAAGCTTGCGCTTGGTTGGCAGAAGATTCAGAAAAAAAAAAAAAACTGCAGTCGTAATCTTTGGAAGAATACAGCCATTGTACAGGTTGCAACATACCTGCTGGTAGCACCGAGTCCGACAGGACCAAACCGGACCCACCCAATTAGTTCAGTCTCTAACTTCGTCAATTGAGATCAGGCTGATGGTGTTTTGTTCAAGATCTCTAACTTATCCATCCTGCATAGATGGAGTATCTGATTTCCCTCCATGATCTGTTCACATAAGGAAAAATAAAAACAATTCATACCATAAATCATGAATAACTTAGCTGATAGTGTTACAACAGATTTATTACCAATTGGCAATTGTCTTTTTGATAAGTACATGATTAACTTATGTTCCAAACTTGCGAGTTATCTTTTTCATGATCACCTTCTGTTTTTGTCTTGGGCTGGTAAAGGGAAGAGTAGTTTTGTTTATACATGAAAGCGAGAGATCCAATTTAGTAAGATGATTTCATACGCATTTTGATGTATTCGTCGGCGTAAATCGGTTCGTACTTTGGTTCTGAAGTGGAGCCTGGGAGGCATTTGATCAAGGCCTTTGGATCCGGGCCACAGAAGTAAGGGATGGAGTAACGAGAGGGGATGAGGCCGGTGACATCGGGAGGGCCGACCCGATGCAAAGTTGAGCGCAGGGTATCATTGGACCATCGCATCAGGAGATCCGCAATATTCACGACCACGGTTTCTTCGATCGGTTTGACTTGCAAAAAGTGGCCAGGTGCAGTGGGATTCTCGACTTGAAGGCCGCCGACTTGGTCTTGGAATAAGATCGTAATCGATCCGAAATCGGTGTGTGCGCCGAATCGTTCCCTGACTCCTTCGATTAATTGAGTGGCTTCGATCGGTGGATAGTGGGCTAATCTGATCTGGTTGTTCGATTCTTGATGGAATTTCGATAAGTAATCTGCCTCTTCAATGCCCATCAAACCGATCGAAATCGCTCGTAAGATTCCCATCTCAAGTCTTTCACAGGCCTCATAAAACTCCTCGAAAAACTTTCGAAATCCGGTCAGATCGTATTTTCTCTCGCTTTCTTCAGGTAACCAAATGTTGTGTTCTGATAATCTTCCTGGTTTGCCTATGTCATAGGTTTCCTTATGATCGGGAGCCGCTGCTTTCTCGTTTCCATTCATGGTTCGACCATTGGATGGTTCGATCGGTTTGACTTTTTCTAATCCGATCGGAGAATAACCTCTATGGCAGGATCCATCAGCCGGATGAAGGGCTTGCTTTTTAATCTCTACTGGCAAATCGAAGAATTTCTTGCTCTAATGTGTGATCGATCAAAATTTCAAAAATGATTCAGCTAGATCAATCCGAATATCTATAATCCATGTAGTCGACGAACCCATCCAAACGCTTCAGAAACCATCTCAGGTGACACAGAAACCTTTTGAAGATAGACGAATCCGTTCTTCTTGAATCCCTCCAAGAGTCGATTCGCCACTAAAACCTGTTCATCCACCCCCGCATCAGGGTTGGAGAATGCTGAGAAGTCAATCAGAGGGATCGATGGTGTCGAGGGGAAGTCCTTGGGCATGTTCGTTTGAGCTTGTCTTCGTTCTTCAAAGTTCAACTGCTCTCGGTCAGCCACCCTGTGTCGCAAATGGTGACCAGCTCTGGACCTGGTCCGGGTCCCCGGACATGTAGCAACAACCTCTTCTCTCATCAAAGTCACAGCAATGACTCGGCTTGTCAAAGGTGCTGACTCCTGAGTGCGTTTTAGGGGAGGGCGTCACACATGTGCTGCACGGCACCTGGAGCCTAGTGGTGTTGAAAGAGGATTGGATACATGGGCATCTGACCTATCTCACTGAAAAGGCCGACATTGGAACACGGTGTAAGGGGGCTCAGAAGGATATGGGGCTCATGATTTGTATCGTGATGCTTGCTAAGATAAGAATGGCATTGCAATGGTTTACAAGCAAAGAGGTAAGGCGGGGCACACGAAGTGTTGACAATGTTTATGTTGTAGGTGTAAGTTCAGAAGAGTTTCTATTTCTGGCCATTCCCACAGCAAAACCAGAGACCTCGAGAGGCCAAGGCAAGCACGACAATCCCCAATCAAACAAGAAAGAGGTGGTGGAAGAATGGCCCAAGGTCATCGAGTCTGTCGACCACTAAGGGTCGAGCAGACAGTTCTCGCTCAAACGAAATAGACAACTTCGAATCATCGTCACTTATAAACACTGTGGCTCGGTTGAGCTAGTGAGACAAACGATCGGGTATCTACTGTAAATAGATCCTGAAGAGCTGAGAGTGGAAGAAAGGGTAAGGGTCAGTGAAGGGTGCTTGAAATCAGGGAAGGCGAGGGGAAGGAGGAGGATGGGTAGGGGATTGCAACTCACTTTGGTCATGAGGAAAAAGCGAAAGGTGATGGAGAAGGGCGCTTTATATACCCTCTGGCCGACTCCAAGGGGCCTGGCTCACTTGTGGGTGCGTGAGGGGGTCACCAGTTTACGAAACCTATCTAGGTTTCGACCTTGTACATAGCCTGGGTGGCGCGAGTCGTAGGGTTCCGATCCGTGGCCTCGGGGCCAGATCTTGGTTGTCCCGAGCCCGATCCGGAGCTACCTACGGGTTTATCAGGTCAAGTCTTGAAAGCTATGCAGAATTGTTCAAAATTTGGACTGTTTAACCAGGTTGAACCTCAATCCAAGCGGATGAAGGATAGTTCCTCAGCCTTTAGCAACAACAAAAAAGTGACTCATGCCATTACATTACTCAAATTCACAGTTCTGATTCTGACCGCTTGATTGAGGTCGAGGAAGATGGCTCAAGTGCGACTTCCCCAAAGAATTCCACTAAAAGGTTGTGGATCTGACAGTACTTCAAGCCAGAAACCCATAAAAACAAAGTGTTTGTTTGCCAGGCTAAATAATTCCAAGGAGGAACGGCTCTCTGCCTTGCAAAGCTCAAACCGTGCAGCACAAGGTATACAAAGAGTATGCTAAACCACCTTGATTGGCAACATGGTATAAGAAAAATATCAAGCAATAAAAATGGGACAATGTATGACTTCCTGTTGCAATCTACAACCCTCCCAGAAGTCAATTTACACCCCTGAGATATATTTTTTCATCTAAAAAAAATACTTTTTCTGAAGCCTTCTGGCAATAGCTCTCATGCAAGCTGGCTGAAATCTGAATTGTGTTGTTAATTTAGGACTGAGAGAGGTCTAAAAAGTATTCTAAATTGTGACAGGAAGTTCTCTGATGGATACCTCCATAATTTTCAACACATCCTTGGAGACTGCAGGTATTTATTTCTAAAATGATCCAAAATCAAAAACACTTGACTGATCAAGGTTTTATTTATGATAGATACCTTAGAAAAGCTTGAGGGGAATAGTTGAAAGGCAGCTGTTGCTGATTTGGTTTTCCACCACCCCCTCCCTTACACTACAGTCAAACACAAAGAATTCATTGGACTTCTTTGCCTGTGCAACCCGGTTACCAGTGATCTTTTAACAGGAGCCAATAATCTTGCATTGTATATCCAAAATATCTTTCCAGATGATGTTACAGTACTCCTTATGCTTGCATCACCAACCTAAATATGGCTTATTGAGAGAATCCAACAGGTATGTCCTGTTAATCATTCAAAATCATAAATAGAACAAAATTCTGATCCATATTTATTTGTTCAGAATGACACCTTACATAAAAAACAGACCCTAATCCTCTGCTCAATGACCGGTTTGGAGTGGTTATTGAGGGATGGACTCTACTAATACTATGAGTGATAGAATATTTACATAGTGGTACATAGTGGGTATGAGGTCAATGCTTCCCCCAGTAAGTGAAATTGGTTGGCTAATGAGGGGCTTACAAACTGACAAGGGTATTGTTTTTCTAAAAAGGAGATCTGTAGGGCTCCTTAGCTAGCTAAAGACTCACCCCAAAGGATGTGAATACTCTTAGAGATGGTCAAAGGGTATCCTTTGCGGATACCCGTTATCCGCTGGCGGATACCCGCCAGTGCCAACGGATACCCGCCAACGGGTGCGGATTTGGGTGCGGATGGCCCCTTTACCGCAAAAAGTTGGCGGGTATCCGGGTATCCCAAAGGATACCCGTGGCCGGAAGGGGAGATGGCCAGCTGGAAGGAGACCCTTCCAGCCGGCGAGGTACTTGTACCTCGTTGACTGGAATGGTGTCCTTCCAGTTGACGAGTACCTCGATGGCTGGAAGGGTCTCCTTCCAGCCAGCCCTTTAGAGGGCGGGTATCCGAGGATACCCGCTGCGGCCGACTGATACCCGCCAGCGGGTGCGGATGCTCAGATGGCCGGAAAAAGCAGCTGGATATCCGGATGCTAATCAACCATCTCTAAATACTCTTACCTTCAGAGGTAAAACCCCATCTTGAGTTGCTACGGGTATCAACCCTCTAGCAATCTCAATCACCCCTCCATACTAGAGATGGCCCCGTTGCATCCGGGATATCCGCGCGGATGCGGAATATCAAGCTGCTTTTTCCAGGGAAA